ACCTGAAAATAGGCCTAAAACTAGGGTAGATGGGGCCATGTGGATGGATGCAGAAAATGTAATAGATGCATCATGTAAAATCAGAAAATATAAGTCGATGTGCAGGAAATAGATCAGCTTACCATTGATTTCACGTGTGTGGAAACAACTTAAGCATCATCCTCGGGTGATATACCGTGCTCATTCAGCCGTTAAGAAAGGTTTCCCCAGTCAAAAGTGGCCTGCCTAACATCACCCAGGGTAGGACAATCAGGGAAAATGTGGTTAGTTTCAGGGCAAAAAGAGGGTCGATTCTCAGCAGACTCTTCAGAAAATCCCTGACAAGTAAACAGGGGTGACACACGGAGTTAAATGCACTTAATTTCGATGAAACTACAACTTAAAACTACGAGCTTGGGAAAATGGGGCCTTCCATTTTCGGGGGAGAACCAGGGGGGAGATGTAGTTTATTAGATAATTTTACCTGCTGCAGCAAAGATGGTTTGGCGTAGATTACTCGTGGCGATGGATATAAACGGCAGAATAATCCGAGAGTAGGCCGAGAGATTCAGTGCTGGAAAACCTTTCTTAAGAATTTGAAATCCAAACGCAGAACAATCAAGTAAGATCAGGGCTAGAAGGGTTCAGAACAACAGGTGACGGGATTACTTTTTAACGGCGGCATGCCGGCGAATCACAATGCGGCATCAATGGCGCGCTTTACCGCGTAGGAATACCTTCCGCGTAAGGAGTAGGGACTATGTTACAATGCTACGTACATAAACAACCGGTGTAAGGGGCTATTAGGAATATTAACAACCAAGAATCGTTATTAATTACCGTTGCCGAAGTCCGAGGAGCACAGCTCAACATATTTGGTGTTTTTAATACTCCCCTCTACTCTACAGCGCTTTGAAATGCAGGTTACTTAGAACATTGCAGCTACTTGCACGCATGCATGCACTTTTGTATTATTGTGATTTGAAGGCGATTTAAAGATTCTGACTGGGTGAGCATTGAGCAAATGCAAATCTGATGGGGAATCCATATGAATTCAATAAGTTCACTCATATCGCTCGTCAAGGGGGGACTGAATCCTATCTATCAAATTGGCATTAGACAAAATTTTTGAATACACATATTAGAATTCTATTTTTCATATAAAAATAAAAGCCAAAAAAAGTTGCACCTCTGGTGGAAACTGTAAACCAGTAATCATTTAGTTTTAGCGCCCACGTTGAATTTTTAGAGAGACGATAACGATTTGAAATGCAGCTTCGTGCGTAAGTGTTTATGAGCCACTTGTACGCATGTATACTCTCTCGTATTCTCATGACTTGAAGGCGATTTAAAGCATTTGACTTGGCTAACAGATCTAATGAGGAATCTAAATTCTAAATTGACAGAATCTCATATCGCTTGTCAAGGTCAAGAGGGACTGAATTCTATCAAACTCGCATGAGAACGAAATAGAAAAATTAAACTCCTAGTGTTACCTAATTCAAGAAACCCCCCCCCCCTCCAAAAAATATAATTCTGGTGGAGACTGTAAACCAGTAATCATTTCGGTTAACACCAACGTTGGATGTGTAGAGAGGCAACTATGCTTTTAAAATGCAGGTATGTACTTGCATCGAAACACATCATAATAAAATTCCTTGTCACTAGGCAATTTGACTGTCTCGCGCGTACACACAGCGATCCATCGATCTGAAGGCAAAACATTGTGCTTTAATGGTTGGCGTGAGCAAGAAATTAGGTATACAAACAAATTAGCCGGAATCGGCCACACTTTTTAAAAATTCTTTACTTTGAGAACTTTGAAAACTTCGGCGAAAATCCTTCCAAAGAAAAATAGTTCTCTTCACATTGTCAAATCAAGATGGGTCCAAAGTGCTGGTTTTGAATCAGGGGCTCTCCATAAATTACGTAACGCTATAAGGGGTGGGTGAGTTTGTATAATTTTGTGACTGAGAGTAATGAAGGATTAGGGGAGGGGGGAGTCCAGAGTTACGTAACAACATGTAAACCGGATTGAAACATTTTTTTTTTTTTTCATTTAATTTTTATTCATTTTCTTTCACTGGACACTTGAATATGTTTTTCTTTTTTATTTTCTCCTACAATTTGAACACTTACGTGTTGAAGAGCGCGCCCATATCGATTTTATAGGAGCTGAGAGTATGTTAATTTAGGAAACAAACGGAGCAAGTTTGAAGTCTCCGTCTAGGTTTCACAAAAATGGATAAAAAAAAAAAAAAAGCCGCTTTAGCATTTTCGGCTACATCCGCCTTTTTGGATTTTCGAATTTCGAAAATTTGACCCAAAACGCATGATATCCAAAATTTAAGCTCAGTCTCGGATTTCTCATTAAAAATCGTTGCAATTCCATGCATCAACCGCTGGCATGACGCGAAGGAAAGAGGCTTATTGTAGGCATACTGATGCTAACATATCGGCCAAATGGCAATATCGGTATTTACTGTTTTGTGTTGTGGGATCGGGGCTTATTTTCTCGCGCAAAATTTGGGAGCCCCTATAGCAACTAACATTGATATACAACAACTGCAAAATTGGAAGTTGCTCTCTCATTGGTTGTTCAGAATCGCGTAAAAAAAAAAAAAAAAAAAAAAAAAAAAAAAAAAAAAAAAACAAGAAAAAAACAAGAAAAAACGGAAAAATTCTGTTGTTTCACGACTATGTTCTCTGTTGGACTAAAACATTTCAGACGGTTTTTCATGTTGTTTGGATAAGATCAAAATGAAAAAAAAAAAAACTCTCTCGCCCATGAGAAATTTCGTGTGGAACAGTTCAAAGCGGTACTTTGCACGGTGTCGCGCTCGCGCTGACGACAATGACGGCTGCGACCATGTAGTTAGCGCACGAGACAGAAATGCGCCTTCAATTTAGTGCATATGTAAGACAGACAACACGCTAGCGGTAATACTTGTTGTTGCTCGCAAGGTTGCAGGCGTTACGCTTTGAACGTCGGCATAGTCAGTCAGTCTTCGTCATGGTTGTAAATTAAATGAAACAATGGCTCATTTTACTTCAAAGACTAGGCATACCAGAAAACTATAATTCTTCTTGTAGTGAGAATAAAAAAGGGGGCATTTGCAATGAACACAATGCAATAAGTGGCTCATTCAAAAGTAATGACCCGTCCATAAATTACGTCAGGCAAGCTGTTTCTAATTTTCGTTTTTCATACCTCTCCCTTTACCATGTCAGGTCCCTTCTCCCCCTGTCATCCTCCTTCAAATAGGTTCGTTAGGCAATCATGCTCCACCTCTCACCCGCATGTGCTTTACGTCACTCAAGAGCGAACATAGAATAAAATATCGGTGAAATCAGATGTTCCTTTGAGCGAAAAACTCTATTTACTTCTGACGCATTCCTACGATTCCAAGTATATGAATTCAATGTTGTTAAAAATATCGTACCTGTAAAATTCAATTCATTCACAATCTGTGTCAATTTGTATTCTCTAAATTCCAGAGGAATCCAACGCAATAATGAGTTTTTCTTCAGACCGCTTCCATCGTTGCCGTGTTTAGACTTTGTGCGGAGGTGGCTACCGGCACCCATGATTCTAGCAAAAATTCTGGCTTGGAAAGCTCAAGAAATATAAGCGCATGGACTCTAAGCTAACAAAGATCGTTATTTCATTGTGCCACCCTTCAGTCCCTATCCATCCGTCAAAATAGTTGTTTTGCGCTTTAAGGGCGAGAACGCGTTTTTCGCTGAAATCTACTCGATGACGCCTACTTCCAAGGCAATCCCTGGATCATGCAACATTCCAACAGCTCCCTGATATCAGCGTAATTTTAAGTTTAAATACTTGCATTGACAAAGTGTGGGTTAATGTTCTCAAAAATTTCCATTTTTTACATGGAGGAAAATTGCATGGCTCGAGCGACCGTACGGAAATCACCAACGGACACCGCCGCATAGACCATAATTCTAATAGCATCCACCATAAGGATGGTAAATCGATGGCGGTTGTGTGGTGGCTGTGTCAATCTCGTTTGCTACGTTTTAAAATCTCTCCCCCTATTTTATATTTTTAGGAGCGAACAAATCAACATCATTCTTTGAAGTTTTCATAGTATTTCCTCGTAGAAGGAAAATCACGAAAATCTTTCAGAATTGCCGTTTAGTAATTTGCTGTTTCAGAAATAAAATATGACAGGAAGTCTGCAACGTCGCAATACCCAGATACGTGGTTTGGGAGTTTCACCGTCAAAATGCTACCCGACGTCCGGTGAAATTCACCCTACAGTAAATCACCTTGTGTAAAAATCAATACTCCAAAATACACCATGCTGATGGTAAAATCCACAATTCTTTTTTTACAGAGTACTTCTGCCTTGCTAAGGAAGGACGCCGGATGGACATTCGAGAGTTGCCAAATTTCCTTCGATAAAATGTTCATTTTTGAGGAAAGTTATGAATATCTTTCCTTGAAATTTTCAGGAACTGTAGGTGAATTTGGGGGCTAAATTATCTGAGAAATAGGCAGAAAATTTTCAAAAAATTTCCTTAAAATGAGTGATTTGCCAGAGGCAATTTGGCAACGCCTGACGGTTCATACGGCGTTCTTCCTTACCACGGCAGACTTGCTGTCCTCCTCCTAGGCAACTCACCTGTCCTGCTCTGTCGCGCTCCTTCGGCTGCGCTCGCGGCACGATACCGTGACACCGTCGCGTCGCGCGTCGTGGTGTGTAGGAAGCCAGCATTTTGGCTCTCGTGCACTGCCAACNGGGGGGGGGGGGGGGGGCTGGCTACCAGGAGGACCAGCGCGGGCGTGGACGCAGCCCGCCGCGGAGGCTCGAAATAATTCCGGAGAGACGCGGACGGCGACGACGACGCTCCCTGGACTCGGGAGAGGGAGCCAGGTGAGCCTGGAAAAGGAGGAGGTGAAGAGACGGGGGTCGGGGTTCGGGGGGCCGGGAGCGAGACGAAGAACGGAGAGAATGCCCGGCAACTCTTGGCGAGCCGGAGTCGGGGACCGGCTCCGCTTTTGTGTTAGTAGCACCTGAGCCGCTGTCTCGCCCGAGCGTCCCGTGTTTTTTACCTCGCCCGCCCGCAATGTCAGTGCATATTTTCAACCGAGTTCGGTGAAGAGTGTTTTTCTTTTCCCCCGCTCCCGCGCGGATAAGTGATCGTAAGTTCCAGTGTGCTTCTCGCCTCACCCGTCGGTGAAATGGCATAAGTGGTGGTCCAGCAGTGTGTCATAGTGTGTTGTGTGTCCTGATCTATGAGGAATGGTTCTTTTCGACGCGCTCTCACAATTGGATACTTCCTCAGGTGAGCCACAGTCACATACGTGCTAAGCTACGGTGAGTCTGAGTAGGCCAACACCCATCAGTGGAAATTCTACTCGTATCGTAAGAGTGTTCTCACGTAGAAATAATTCAGCCCCCGCCAGTACCTACTTAAAATTTCCTCATTAGCTAGAAGTGCATCGCCTCATTTGGATGCGTTGATTGAGCGGTTGTAGAGTTATCAGATATCGTAGATTCAACGTAGGTATGTCCTGATATGGGCTGGATTTCCACTCACGCTTATGAATCAAACAAAAACTAGTAGAATTCTACCGGTATCAGCACATTCAATCCTCACATAATTAGAGATTCAACTGATATCAGTCCGAGTGTATATTCGTCCGATATCAGCAGATTTCCATGCCTGCTCCTACTACTCGCCGTCGTCATTTTTGAATGGAGCGTCTTTGAGGTTTTTTTTTTTTTTTTTTTTTTTTTTTTTTTTTTTTTTTTTTTTAAGGATTCGTACTTCGCAAAGGACGCCACATTTTGCGCATATCAGCCAACATTTCATGCAGACATCTGAATAATAACGATGAATACATAAAAAGAATGAATAACCGCACGCAGCTAACGAATGCACGTCGATAACTCTCCTCACTGCGTGTCTTTCATTCCGTCAAGTTCGCCTTCAACAACCGTGATGGCAATTTGAGCTGCTTGAGAGCACGAATAGTTGCTCGCAGTAGCTTTTTTCGCTCCTGCCCGGCTAGGAACAAACGTTGATTACACGCCCCACTGCATGTCTTTCATTCTGTCGAGTGCGCCTTCAATAACCGTGATGGCAATGTGAGCGACCTGAGAGCATGAATAGTTGCGTGCAGTTCTGCCGTGTTAGTCGGTAAACTTTCTGTCCTTCGTTTATGGGTAAAATGGGCATCCATTATCATTAATTGACTTTTACTTTCGTCATTCCCGACGCCTAGATTGTGGCTTACATCCATGTTGGATGTTTTCAAGTGTGGCCACCCCATTTAATTTCAACAGTTCAAATACATCTTCGTAATTGCACCTGTTGGCGTGCTTTCTCAAGCCACCTATTGTTGCGAAGCATACTATATCCGTAGCTTCTAAAAAACGACTACCCTAAATGAATGATGAATGTTTCGGTTTACCTTACCCCGCTTGACGCTTTGCCTAGATGGTTATAAAGTTTTCATTTAAAACTATGTCCATCAGCAAAGTAAGAATTCTCTCTTTCAGTTTCAATTCTCAGTTTCAGCTCCAAATTTTGGCGACTTCAAAATCGATTTTCTCCGTCATTTAGAGTAAAAAAAATTACTTAGAGCTCAACCCGCTCAGTGCTGTAAGAAGCTTAGTTGAAAAAATAAGCGCCATTGATCCATTTTTCAGGTATGGTGTGCAACATGCATCATGAACCGCGAGGCTGGATTTGTAGACCAACCCAAGACACAAATCTTAATATTGTAATGATAGATCATAAGATAATTATTATACTGCACGAGGGAATTTTCTGACCTACTTCAAAAATAGAAGGCGATATAGCAACCATTAAAAACTCTACAGCAACAACGAAAATCAAAATTGTTTCTCACAAAAATTGACGGAAAAATCACGAAGAACGCGCGGCAAAGTCTCACACATTTGAATCAAACGCAACTTTTTCTGCCCATCTGGCAATGACCCAGCAACTGACATGCAAGAATGATATGAGCATGTGCAGAAAATGGCTAATAACAACTTGCCAGAAAAGGTTTTGGATTAGGTGCCACCAGGTATGCGTCGTATAGAGGGCTTCCAGTTGAAAGTTGGACGAATGACTTTTAAAATGAAATGAAGGGATGCCAGTTTCTGGAGAATCTATGGAAATCATATTTTATCGGAGGTAATTTGACAACGTTGAACGTTCTTATGACGCGACGTTTTTCCATTGGAGGGCAGAAAAGGCGTCGAACCAAGTAGGTATGCTTCTCGTAAAATGACACGACGGAGACTTGATGCGAACCAAAGTTGTCCCACATCGGGCAAACATTTACCCAATTCCTTATTAATATGAACGCACGTTGTTCTACTGACACCGATCATTAAAATCATTGCTATGGTAAGAATTGAGGAAGAAATGGTGGGCGCGGGGTGGAGGGGGCGTGCCTGTGCGTAATTGGATGCAACACGGAAGAAATAGCTGCGGTCCTTTTCGAAGGGCAAGTGGGAAGTGGAAAGTAGGAGGGTCTGTAGGGAACCTAACCTAACCTGGCTCGTGCCCGTGCAAGGGAACCGGGAATCGAGAACCTACCACCGACTTTACACCTGTTCCAGCCCTCGGGCTCGGGTGTCCGTGTCATCGCTCTCCAAGCAGTCACGTGCGTTCACCTGCCTCCCAGACAGTCGCGAACCTCTCGCAGTTGTCGAACTGAGTTTCTGACCCTTTTAAATAAACTCTCAAGAATTTTGCTTTACACAGGGTAATGATTAAACTTTCAGAACACGTGAATTTTTAAAATTTCGGAGAAACGACGTCGAACATATTAAAAACTTACATCACGGTATCAACATAATGTAGTAGGTACATTAACATCAGCCGATTCAAACCTGAGACAATTATCGAAGGCCGAAGTATCACAAGCGCCATGCTACGTTTAAAAATTTTCCGCGCCATTTTATTTTTTTACACCCTGGTAAAAATTGGCAGTAGAATCTGTGTTCCAAAAAACCATAGACCTACAGCCGCCTGTAAGACTTCCAATAGCTTCCATAGCCGGCAACACAATTTCTTATTGCCTTTTATAGCCGATGGCGATTAAGCAACAGCCTGGCGATAACGTGTATGCTAAACGTTACTAATTACGGATGCGAGGACTTGGTGAGTTTTTGGACTACCGCTCTCTTTTTGGGCCGCAGTATCTTAATTTAATTTGCGAGGAAAGCTCCGTGCTTTTGAAGGATGCCTGCCATTCCTAATATGTTGGAGCACCTTCAATTTCGTATGATACTGTGCAATACCTCTGGTGTGAAATAGTTGCTTCAAGCGCCGTGGTACGCTGCGGCGCAGAGCGGCGCGGCGCGGCGGGCGGGCAGCCAGCGCGAAACGCGCATTGGCGCCTACAAACCTAGCAGGGATACTTCACGCATTGCGCAATGCGTGAAGTATCTCTGTTAGGTTTGTAGGCGCCAGTGCGCCGCCGCTCCGCTTTGTGTTAGGCTCTAATATTTAATCTCGTGGAGTCAGCGTTTTTCAACTCATGACTTTGAAATGTTCGCACACTCTGTTTGGATTATTTTCATTTAATTGATGAAAAAAAATATTTAGTAAAGGAAAATATAATGTGCGTTTTGTAAATATTAAGGTGATTCCGTACAAACTTAAGGATTTACAAAGCACACGAATTTCTACACAATTTCTTATAGCCTTTTATAGCCGACGGCGAAAAAGCAACAGCCAGGCGATAAAGTGTAAAGCCCGGCGATAGGAACTATAGCCCGGCTGTATAATTTTTTATCGATTCGTGTAGCCCGGCCGTATGATGTTTTCCACTTTCTACAGCCAGCTATATGATTTTCAATCGCCTTCTTCAATCGGCCATAAGAACGCCTATGGTATTTTGAAACGCAGCTCCTATCGCCAATTTTTACCAGGGCACAGAAATTGTTAAACAGAGCTGTCCGAAAATTTCACTGAATTTTCTTTGTGCTGCCGATAAAATTCAGTGATATTTTCGAACGGATTCAACCAACAATTTCTTTGTGAAAAAATAAAATGGTGGCGGAAATTTTGAAAAGTTGCATGGCGCTTGTGATACTTTTGCCGGAAGGTGACGATTTGTAATTTAGAGACCCATGAAGCTCGCACGAAACAATGTAATCAAGTGAGCAAAAGTTTTTGGAGGTCAAAGCTAGTCTCCGCCTAATAATGATTAATGAGCAAATGTTTGAGCATATAAAGTCAACTAAAGTCTCTTAATGTACGGAATGTACAGATGTTCCTCAAATTTACGGGCGAGCCCTTTCCTTTGAAAATTTTTGCACAGTAGGTTAGATATGAAAAAAGTATCTATTTTAGTTGAATCTCATGGATTTCTTGATGTTTGTTTGCTTTCGATGTAAAGTCACTTTGAAACTTCTCTCTTTCTTCCCTGCGTGTTTCATCCGGAAAATTCGACCAAAAGAGCACAATGAACTACTGATTTGAAATCCAAGACAAATATGTGTTTCGTCGTTACAATTTTGCGTCAGGGTCGGTCTTTGTGTTTACATCACACCGTACACGGCGCCCCTCCCCCCCCCTACTACCAGGGAGTCTGGTGGGAATGGAATAATCCCCTTTTCAGAGGGGGCTCCAGGGAGTCTCCCCATAAAAATTTTTGAAATTTTAACCTCATTTGGACGCATTTTGAGGCTTCTGCGACGAAGATTTTCCGTCAATCTCTGCCGAGAAATTACGTTGTTCTCTTACTTGTGAGCAGAAAGTGTTTTCTGTAAGAGAATTTGCAGGTGTCTGAAGTTTGATGAATTTCGTGTTTACGTGGAAACTACTGAGTGAACAGAACACGAGGATAGCCTTAGCTCACAAGTTTCCAACAAAGTGTTTGAAAAGTCCAAGAAAGTGAGGGATGGAAAAAAAAATAATCCCAGACCGCGAGCGCCCTCCGCACTTTGTGATGTTTCCGAGGCGCCCCCCCCCCCTTATGACAGGATCCTGTGCGGCCGCACGGCTCCCCCTACCCTAAAACGGCCCTGTTTTGCGTATAGCACAGTGGCCGTATTACAATTTTCCTACTTCAGCCGTTCTTATAGTGTGAAGTGCCTAGCATTTTCTGTATACACCAATCAAAGTCCGTTTATATGAAGACCGAAGTCTACTCCAGTCTTATGGAGCACTGAACTAACTTCTTTACGTTTTATTCCTGAATCATTTTTTCTATACGCTAAATATTGCTTGATAGATTTTCAAGTTTCGCAAATTAGAGGAGGAAGGGGCGAAATTGTGTCAAACCGAGAAGCGAGTTTTGATAATCCGCGGGACTG